GATAAGGCCAACGGTGTAGTAGTAGTAGTAGTCGTGCACCGAGGGTGGAGCCAATCATTTATCGTTCTAGATGTTAAGGTACACCTTACGTGAGGTGGCGCTATATGGTGACCGTATCGAGGTCAATGCTCTGTGCTGGCGCCCAGGGATGATGAGTGGGTTCCGAGGCCCCGATGGCATTAATAAAACAAAAAGCTGGCAGATTTCGAATGGAGTCAGACGACGGCCGCCAAGAAAGTGCATCTGGATTACAGTGCCATGGCCCGGGATCATATTGACACCCAAAAGTCAAAATCTTGCAAAAACTGCTGCCAACCGGCCAGCCGGTCAATAGAGTCTTTGAAAGAGACTAACCACTGTAGTGCGGTGGTCGGTGCGAAGTATGAACTGCTTACCGATAAGAGGGTTCTTAAATTGACCAAGGAAGACAACGGTAGTTAGGAGCTCCAGTTGAAAAGTGCAGTAAATAATCTCTGTATTCGACAATGTGACTAAAAGAGTTAATCCTATTTTATAAATATGCCGGAACAGGCAGACTTCTGGAAGTATTGGTCCACTCCTGTATTAACAGTCATGTAGCGATTTATCCTTACCTTTTTCCCTTTCGTTTTTAAGCAGTTTCCTCTTCCTCAAATCGTTGTCAATCACTTACTCTCACTTTTTCAGAATATCCTCAGAATTCTTTCACCCAAAATACACGTGTTAACTCCACACAGTTATTGAGAAAAGTAGCATGGTTTATCAAAGAATAAGGTTTATTGGGCACCGTCAAAATGCAAGGCTATTGGTCAAGGAGCTACAATCGACTGTCATGATGCCTCCCTCACGCATGCCTATCTTTTAATCCCAATAATTATCCCATCTTAATCGTTGCAGAACCTTCCAACCCCACAACTTGGGCGCAGAATAGCCAAAATTCATTAAATGAAGCACAGAAGCATCGGTAGACCGAAACAGTGCATAATATATGCCAGCAACGGCATATATACATACACAAGGCCTGACATACTTATGTTGTACGAATGAGTTTGAAGTGCGTCAAAAGGTGCATCGAGTAACCAACATTTCGTATTTGATGGTCTCCGAAACAGAGATCTTCATTCATGCTAACTATACGCCATTTTGGGAATTTAAACAAGTCATGTGCTTCGTGCCAAGGGGGTAATTTGTTAACCAGTGAACATTGGTGAAATTGGCACCCTATACCACCAACCAACCAGGGTTTATTTTTCGAGGTTATGACTTCGGGCTTGGATCCCCAAGCCGGGACTGGCACCGAATTATTGGATTCTGAATTGCG